CTGTTTTTATAATACAAGAGGTTATAATACACCCTCTGAGCAGCGCTACGTCTTCAGGACAGATTGGGGGCTACAGTGAGTTGCTATGGGAAAGCGACGAGACAGGCTGATATGAGCCCGGGCTAGCTGGTTAGCATGCTAACTTCAAGAGTCACACTGTGTATGTATTTTACACAATATTGTTAAAGTTGTATTGACATATTAGTGAATACAAAATATACGAAATATACAATGAGATCGCACCATTTTTGTGCAGAAGCCTGAAAATGATGTAGGGCTAGCTAAAATAGGGCTGTACAGTTAATTGAAATATTATTGAAATCACAATATGGTTAAGTGCAATATCCAAATTGCAGGAACTGTAACCTTTTGATAAAAGGTAAAATGTGTCACAACATACCATAATTAAGCATTGTAGTGCTACAGAGATGCCCTGGCCGACAAATGATATGCTCCAGACGTAAGGGAACATACATTACAACATACGTTGTTTGGTACGAACCTCAACAAAAAATCACATCATCATCATGTTTACATTGTTTTTCAGTGAAAGTGAAATGCAAAAATTACCATTCCCACTATAATCGTGACTCATATCGCAATATCTGTCAAAATAATCGCAATATTATCTTTCTTGCCTATCATTCAACCCTAACCCAAAATAGAATGGTTACTGTTCTTCATCCCTTTTGATTACAGTCACAACCCTTGTCTCATTTTTAAGCTGACACTTTAAATTTTACAACCAAAAAGTCAGAATGAATATAAACAATATTGAACCAAAGATACAGGGGTGTAACCACGGTAGAAATGTATGTTTGTTTTGTCTCATCTATGCTCATCTTTGGTATAAAAAGCGTTAGCAGGCCTGCAGTTGTACCTTTTGTGTGGAAAAGACTTTGGGAGTCACAACTGCAACTCTTCTGTTTCAGCAGCTCTTGCAGTGATATGTGGATCATAAAATGCTTTGCATGAAAAGAAATAGGAGTCTTAGAGCTTTCAAACAATATATAATTCGTCAAGGTTGTATGAAAACTGAGTCTAGTACAGACCAAAACACACTTAAAACTGCCATGGCCAATGCATGCCGCTGGTGGGACGGTGTATTTCAAAAAGGTTAAAACCCATTTAAACTAATACCAAAAGACTTCCAATGGCAGCTCATCTAATGTGGAGAACTTGGGACATCTGGTATCTAAACAGGGATCAGGGCATTATGGCTTAGAAAGGACACTTTTAGGAATTAAATTTCACCCAGGATGTGTTAAACTCCAAGGCAAATACTTTCCTCAGTCTATTAACTTCACTGCCGTGGACAGAGGAAATCTCATATCAAACAGATGAAAAACAGCGATAAAAGAAGTCAGGTTCTACTTTTTGGCCATGGTTAAAGCAACTTTTAGAGGATATTTCCTCACTCCCTCATTGTATGTCCCTGGAAATACTGTAGCTACAAAATGTTGATTACTAGCATAAAGTGTCTCCCACAGTGCAACACCCACATGCTGTCCAACAAATGATAATGAGGAAAAGATTAACTGCAGGGTTCAATGAGAAATTTACCTCCACAGGTACCTGCAGATGCCAGCTGGGCTTTTATTATGCAACAAACTCATCATTAAACTAAACTAAAGCAGTGTCTTACTGGCATCTCGATGGGAAACTCTGTCTCCCAGGTAAATGTCTTCACACACACACACACACACACACACACACACACACACACACACACACACACACACACACACACACACCATATCTCTCACCCCAAATCTTCACCACTCATCCTGTGGGAACACTAATTACTGGTATCATGAAGGGGTAATGCTTAAGTCTGAACCCAGAAGTCAAGTCATACTGCTACAATACTAAGGCTTTTTGGAAAACCTAGAAGTACACTATAAACTTTGAAAATCTGAAATGTGTATTTAGTGAATCTCAAAGGTTTCCACACCTTGACCAACCTCTGCCACAGCTAGTGTAGAGAAGTCTTGTACAGGAGAGGTTAAGTATTGCTTAAATGCAAATAGTGCTGCACTACTGCAGAGCCATGTGGAAGTAAATAAATTATCTTTGCACACGAAATTCCAAACGGCAGAACAAACAAAATAATCTTGACTCACGGTTCTCTTACTACCACTAATTATTAAGCTTGCAAATTCATCTCCATGAGAACTGAGTAAACTCCATTTGTTGATGATGACCTTGTGATACAGTTGAAAGCTCTGGAAAATTCAAAAGTGGATACTGAGTTGAGCTTGTGTTGTGAAATGTACAATAATCTTGTGTTGATTCCTCCACTGAGGAGGGGCAACAAGAGCTATAATACGATACAAAGCATCTTTCAGAGGGCAATCAGCTGGTAGAGAGGGTAAAGGACGAGGCAAACAAAAATCACCCGAGACAAGCCCGGATGGCAGTCGTTTGTTGGATTCCAACCTCATTCAGTGCTGAGATGGATGTGAAGAATATAAGATTTGATATTTATTTAAGGACAATTTCTTGGAATGCATTACAGTGCAGGGTTTCAGATTATTTGAGTATATATTATTAATAAAGATACTATTACCATTAGTAATAACATGACTAAAATTACTCTGTTTTACATTGCTAAAGACTTATATTATTAACAATTGTTATATTATATTATATTATATTATATTATATTATATTATATTATATTATATTAACTGTGTCCACTAGAGAACGATTAACATTAGTGTCCCTTATTTAGTTTCTGGTTGAAAGTACTCACCCGAAGCGCATTATGTCTGTGCTGATGTAAATTTAATGACAGTCATGTGTTGCAGTTCCATGGTGACCACTAGAGGGAAGCAAACACAAGAAAACTTAAGTGGAAAAGTTATACAAAAGGTTAACATGACACAGCACTATTTTTAACAAAGTGGGTGGCTAAAGTTTTCTGTGACTTTTCTCCACGTAAACAACCTGTGAAATATCAGGACTGCCTTATTTACATGGAGATTGTGCTTTGCAAAACTTAAGCCTTCATAAAATTGATGTTGTCCAAAAATTACCCACATTCTTGGTGTCAATTTTTTATCTGATTTGTTTAATGATAATGTACATTTGTATACTCTGAATCACAAATTCATGATGACTTTCCTGTCATGTGTAGAACATTTTCTACTGTTTGTAAATCTATTCCAGAATGACTGTCATTCATGAAAAGTCATATTGGATATAAAGACATTTAGAATTTAAAACACCAACTATTTCTATGAGGTCTACATTACTGTTTCTAAATACAATAATAAACATATCTGAAATGAATTCTACAAGAAAATAAAGATCACTCCAAAGGGAAAGGTTTTTGGCATAAGTTAACTGAAAATATTAACTGGAATAAAACTTGATCATTACCAGACAAATTCTGTATACCCACTAAAGCTACAGAAGCAGGTAAAATGATTACATAACATGTAATTGTATTGTATGTTTAAGAAAAGAAACAGACTCATCTCTTTTTCAGCTTTAACTTCATGGACAAATTATGGTAAGAGTTCAGTTGTCATTTCCAAATTTGGAAATACAACATTAAACCTATAACTTGAATAACACAGGCATATTTTGAATGAACAGACCCCAAAAATTCAAGTTTGATTGTAAATGTGCTGATTATAAACTATGTCTATATTCACAAATGTAAAAGATAACCAATGTTTTCTCTTTAAAAACTCTCTAGGTTTTAAGTCTAATCAAAGAAAGAAGTGTATGCACAATTCATTATTATATCCATATACATGTTTGAAAACACAATCTGACTTTATTTTATCTTATATTAATTGTTTATTTTTCTTTTAGTGTCATTATATTTCTGCTTTCTATTTTGATTGTAATTTCCATTGACACTTGGTCTGTGATGAAATGAAAAATTATTTTAATTAATAAAGTCTTTTGAAAACTGATCCAACTAAGTATTACAGGTCGTCACAGTATTTATTTCTGGAGGGAAAGGTTTTGTAAGTGCAGCATACATGTTTGTTTTCACCTTCAGTAGTATTTGCTTGTAGTTTGTCAACACACAAAGTTAGTCAAAGTTTATACAACTCTTGTATCAGAATGTAGCATACAGGTGATGTTTAAAAAGCCAAGAAACACTTACCGTTGTTCTACTTCCAGAAACCTCAAAGACTCTTCTCATCATTTGGATGAAAAAATATTCTGTCCACTAGATGACAAAAATAAAAACACCCGCTTAACCTGTTTGTCGAGTTGTTTGTCAGTTTCTTATCCAGGTAAGCAATGGGCTGCCATCTTTGTTTTGATCCGGAAACGGTCGTAGACCAGTCTCCAAACCAGAAAACAGCCATTAATAGATTTATTACCAACACTAATGCTACAGTTGGTCTTTACAATCATCAAACTATTAAAAACTGTACAAAATACTGACATTTCAAACTTTTTACCAATGGTAACAGCATGTGTTGGACACAAATTTAATAGCATTTTGAAGTTCACCCCTGTGGCCACTCGGGGGCAATAAAGACTTCCTCTCACTGTCACAAACATCCCCGGTTAAACCTTTCAAAATAAAGTAATCAAGGCGACAGCAGTGTTTCTAATTTCATGTCCATAATTTACATATTTTGAGACTTTTGCTTTACTAATGTACACCTTATTTTCCCCTAAATGTACTTGGGCTAATCACTTCTGTTATGTGGTATAATGGTCTGAATACATTTCTTTTAAAAAAACAAGAAAAAAAAACTTGATTGAGAATTATTTTATAGATATGCAAAATAAAATAGAGACGAAAGAGAAAGAAGAAAAAGGTAGAGAGATGTTGGGGTGGACTTTAGCAAATAGAATAAACTTTACACTGTTTGTCTGAGATGTGATGGTCTAGATCTTTCCAGACTTCACCTGTCTTTTCTACGGTCTGTCAAACCACACCTACAATGACGTGGCTTATATTCAGTCTATGGATGTGAGTTTTCCTGACGTCGCGTTACGTAATTGACGTGGGAGGAGCGTGCGTGACACATCAAAACTTGACAACAGCTCAGCGCAGCAAACAGTGGTGCTCAGGGATCTACGGTCAAACTACTGTCAAAAAGGCACGGTAAAGTCACAGTTAACCTGGATAATTTAAGATAACACCGTTGCCTCCTACTATAACACAAGGGACTGAAAGTAAAGGGGATTTGGTAAGTAAAAAAAAAACTGTCAGATTTATCTTGCTAGCTTGAGTCAGCTAACAGTGCAGTTTGACTAAGCACATACCACAAAACAAAATCATCATGTTGATGGCGTTTACTGTGGTTATTCTAGAGGTTTGGGCTAGAGAGGGACATATGTTTGTCTTCACTTACTTAAAAAAATGCTTTCTACACAAGGTAGCATTAACTTTAACGTTGGCCTATTGTTTAGCAACACACAAGCTAATCGCTAGCATTTGTGTAGTTAATAAACAAGTGTTACTAATGACGATTTGAAAACAAATTGTATCATAATTTGGTCAGAGTACAGTCATTTCTGTTCGCTGTTGGGCGAGTTGTATGTCTGCCATACGATCGTCACCGTCCTCAACGGTAGTTATGTAACGAGCCTAATCGTATAAATTAGCCTGGCCTAGCTAGCTTTTTCTGGGAGACTGATGACATCTATGTTTCCACATAATCAAGACAACGTCTGAAAGCCAAAACCAGCATCGCTACTAAGTTAACTTGAAAGTAAGCTTGTCTTGACATGATACCAGAAATAACAAACTTATGAATGACTTAGCTAATTTCAAAGCTAACGTTAGCTAGCATGCAGTGAATCCACCCCTTGTCAGTGTTGACAGTGAGCAGTCAGCACTTCATGTGTTTTGAGTGAAACTCTTAAGCCTTTTCTACCTCCTTCAGGTTGTTGAGATTCTACCATTGTCAGCTGTGAAGGTATTTCTGTGATGGAGTTTCCAGATTTAGGTGAACACTGCTCTGAGAAGACCTGCAAACGTTTAGGTGAGTACAGTTTAGAAAAGAGGACCATGTCCTGCTTGTTTATGTGAATCTAAGTTTGATTTGAACTTGAAATCTAAAACCTTTCTTTATACTACAGATTTTCTTCCTATGAGATGCGATGCCTGTCAGGAGATCTTCTGCAAGGACCACATAAGCTATGCAAATCACAAATGCATGTCATCCTACAAGAAGGTAACATATAATGTTATCAGTACAACTTCTACACACTTTCAGTTCTTTGCCCTTTAATGCAAGAATGCACATATATATCAAAATAATTCCAGCTTTTATTAACTTTTATTTATTTTTATTTATTCGATTCCTTTAATCTTTAGTGAAACAGTGTATCAACAGTGTGCATATATGAGCATAAATAAATGGTCCTAAAGCATCCACCAAAATAAGTCTCATAGCAGAGTATGATGAGTCTTGCTTCTACATTTTGATACCCAGTTGGACTGTGTTTATTATCAATCCTGTAATGTATAACAAGTTATACACAGAATCAAAAAACCATGATGGTTTTAATGTCTTTGTTTTATTGCAAGTCTTAAAGTCAGATTTGACAACAGCATGGTAATATATTCACACTTAAAAATCTTTATTCCTGTGTTTTGCGTAATATCTGATTTTATAGGATGTCCAGGTCCCAGTATGTCCTTTGTGCAACACCCCCATTCCCGTCAAGAGAGGGGAGATGCCCGACATTAAAGTCGGTGAACACATTGATCGGGACTGCAAATCAGACCCTGCACAAAGAAAGAGAAAAGTATGTATTTAATACATATGCATACAATTAATCTGTTGTACCTTTCTAAATTATAACAGAAATAAATAACCATTTTAATATTGAACAATTTTTTTCAGATTTTCACAAATAAATGTTCTAAAGGAGGCTGTAAGCAGAAGGAAATGATGCGAGTAACCTGTGACCAGTGCCATTTAAATTACTGTCTTAAACATCGGCACCCACTAGACCATGATTGTAAGACTGATGGGAAACCTCTGTCCAAATCTGGGTGGGTACAGTTTTACTACACCATAAGATAATGCTGTTTCAGCTGAAATGTATCAGACTTATATGTACATATTTTAAATCTTAGACATGCTGCTGTAACGAGGGCCCAAGGTGCTTCTTCCACCTCCACTTCTGCCTCCAGCTCCAATTCATCTGCTTCAGGAAACTCTAGACCTGTTTCTAATGGTGTGAGAGCAAATACCAGAGGCCCCAACAGCGGGTAAGCACTTCTACTCTTTTGACTCTAAATGTTCATAAAAATAGTTGTTTTTCTGACTTTTTAAATGGACACCTAAAATAGTAATTCCTTCCTGTCTCATGGTCCTATTTTTACCTCCTTTTCTCAGCACTACCCCACGGATTCCTACTTCTGTTTCAGCACAGAATGTAATACCACCCTCAGCTTCATTTCAGGCCGGCTTGGTATGCACGATTTACGTGACTTCACCTGATTTTCAAAAATTGCCCAATGCGAGTAAAATGTAAACACAAGTGTGCTGCTCATTACAGACGGAGGAGCAGGCTTTACAAAGGGCTCTGGAGATGTCTTTGGCTGAATCAAGGCCGACAGTTCAGCCGGCCCTTAGGTGAGTAAACTTCCTCAACCTATAACGAGAGAAATATCCTATTATCAGCTTCACATTAGTCCTAAGCCACTCGTGTCTGTGTGCTGCTGTTGAGAGCGGAAGAGTGTTTTCCTCATTGACCTTCAGCTAAAAACAGTGGGGGAAGAGTGTGTGACCAATCGGGAGAAATATGAAGTGTAATTAATATTGAATGAATTTAATTGTATAAACAACAGTGCTCTGATGCAAGCAAGGCTGTTGACATTTATATTATTGAGATTTATGAGACAGAAAAACATCATTTCAACTGTAGCTGCAGCTGTTATTTTCGTTACCAATTAATCTGCTGGGTATTTTTTGTTTGGTCTACAGCTTGTCAGAATCATAATGTTCAATAGTGCAACGTGTAAGCAGAGTTTTGTGAGACAGGAGCAGGAGTTTGGCCTGTAATGTCACTTTTTCAACAGCTTTCATGGAAGTTAAAAGTTACTTAAAGGCCCTTTTGTTCAGCCATAGACTGCTTCTTTCACAGCAAATATTTAATAACACTGATCTATGGTCAGCTCTTATGTGCATTATGGGAATATCAATTGACTTGAATAGATTCCTTACCTGGCAGATTGCCTACAGCAATAGGCATTTCAGAATGGGCTGGTTTGATTGTAGGATTAAACAAAGGGAAGAAAGCGCTCTACTCTTTGATTGTTGTTGGTAGCAGCCTAAATGACTTTAGAGATTTAATATAAATATTCATTACATTTACATTAGTAGGGAGAGCTTTTTGAGATGTTTGAGTCCTCATCCCACTTGTTTGTAAGGTTCACTCATGAACAGGTTTTTGGTGAACGAGTAGCTCTTATTAACTGTTGTTTCCAAAGTCAAGAATGAGTTTTGAGTCTCAAGTAATGGGAAGGTAGTTGACTGTAAACAGATATTTCCCACCATTTTTATCCAGATATAAGGACAGTGTCATCGGTTAAAAACTAAACTAAATAGTTTTGTAGCACAACAAATAAACCCATGATTCACAGATTTACCTTTTTGTTTTTGTGGTCCTTCACTAAGTGTTTTTGTTGTTTGTGTCTCAGCCCTCAGGAGCAGGAGGATCTGGCTCTGGCTCAGGCTCTCGCTGCCAGTGAAGAAGAATACAGACGCCAGCAGCAGAGACAACAGGTACCCGGAAAGCTTAGCCGTCACTAGCATGCTAACAGGAACACATGTAGGTACACTGTTGTCATGGCAACCGTTCCTCATTGAACTTTCTTTAGTGGCAGAAGATGAAAGACTAATTAGCCTTTTTCATACATTTTTAATGAATATTTGAAATATGTGGAGTGAAATGGGGCTTTGTTTCTGACTGTGCTTTCTCTTTGTTTAGGGGAGAGAATCCAAACAGTCCAACTGCAGCCTTTCTTAATCACAGATCACCATTTAAACTTCAAGCTGTGCTAATTATCTACTAGAAACTGCACATCTGGGATATCAATAACCAGGATCAATGATTGTTACATGAAGAAATCCTCTCGGAAGTTGCTGAGATATTACCGCCTTCTACAATAAAAAGCACATACTTTCCCAGCAGGATCTGTCATTTTTACTAATGATTTGCTCTGTACATATTTTATATGCTGATCATGATGAACCCATTATATTACCATATATGAATATTGAATAAATTATTTCAAAGACACACCCTGGTTTTTGAACTGCTCAATTGATTCAGATGTGCTCACACACTCGACACTTAGACTCTGAGAGGTGAAGCCTGTTATTTAGGCAAATCAGCAAGAGTTGTTTAGAGTTGTGAGTCAAATAATTTATTCAGCCTTTCAGCAGGAGGGTTTGGGTTTGTTTACAGATAACTTCACAACAGATAACAGATTTCACAGACAGTTTTGGATACATTTGGGTCAGCTTTATTCTGTAAAACTGGGTAATGCCTGTGCAGCTAAGCTTATCGTTTTCACAAATTGTTGATGATTTGTTCTCCCTTTATTTAGTCCTTTTGTCCTGAGACCTTCATCATGCAAAATTCATCATAATTAAGTCTGAGGACTAAAAAATAATTGACTTTCTGCTGTTGAAGGATATTATAGCAATTATCATTGTTTTCCGACCTTTAAACTGAGAACTTCGGAACTGCTTTGGGTTAAGATGCTCAAGCATGACAGATTTTAACTGAATTACTGAATATTTCACATAAGAAACAAAATGTTAAAGGCTGTAAGGCTGACAGGTCAAGGCAGCTAAAAGTAGTTTTTGTTTTATGTAATATTTGTTTGTTAAAGTGGATTATTATTCACAAATGATGTAGGTGAAACTGCCAGAGCAAAAGAAAACTGAGGAACAGTTCACAACAGATTTATTGTTTATTATATAGATAAATGTTTATTTTCACCCCTGCTGCATTTTCTACTCATGCTGAATTTTACTCACAGACAGATTGGAAAATAATCAATCACTGATTTACTGAAAACTGAATATCTTGAGTTTTAGATTCGCTGATCAGACAAAACAAACACTTTAAAGATGTCACTGTGGGAACTCGTGACATTTGATCAACACCAGAAAAAAAGAAAAAGATTGATTAATTAATTGAAGATGAAAACATTTGATAATTTCAGCAGCACCTGCTGCCCATCAGCTGTGCTCATGGTTTCAGCTCAAGTTATTCAGTGTGTGAACAGCAGAGGGCAGGAAAGCTTCATAGATGATATTTAATCTGTCGCAGCAGGATGTATGTTTACTTCACTGCTGTTTTTTAGGAAACACCTCTTTGCTACTTACTGTTCTTACAGAGTTTCTGTTGTCATGTAAAATCTGCTGAATGCTCCTTATCTGCTAATATTTTTTTTTCTCCCTTTGCTGCCATTTGTCAGATGAACAGACGTTCTCAAAGTCCACTGAGCTGTTTGAAATAACCCGCAAGTCCAGCAATTGGAAAAGAGAGTGTAGTGGCATTATCTGACCAAAGACATTTACATAACAATATTTAATAGGCAGAAGCTGAATTGGGTGCAGCTGCTGGAGAAGACCTCCTCAACCTGCTGCAAAGAGCACGTCTCGCTACAAAACCTAATTACCTTCATCAGATGCCAAGATGTGGTTACCTCTGTCATTTCACACTTCGTCAGAACACATCAGTATTCAGTGCTGCAACATCACCATGCCTTACTATTAAACAAAATGATGCACTATATTTGATCCCAATAGTTGTTGCATCTTGCTGCATAAATTTACATATTAATGAGGAAAGTAATTTTCTTCCAACTACTAGAAGCACTAAATGCCTTACGTGGGATTTGGAGCTCATATTTGTTCCATCTGCTAATATGTGAAAGGCCCTAATAAACACGTGCTTATATGTGTTTTTAATTGATTAGATATTAATGATAGTGGAAGTTTTAGATATATGAGAACTGAATATTTCTTGGTCATTTTGGCTAAAACCAGTATTTTATTTTTTAAATGTTTTAACTTCCTTAACTTTCAAGGTTAACCTACTCAGGAAACTTCATAATAACGCAGATATCTGAGTTATTATTATGATGATGATGATTATTATTATTATTATTATAGACACATTTTCTAAGTGTCTGCAGTCACTGAGGAGGAGAGTGAAAATCAAAGTTAATTGTAGAAAATGGATGTTTGCACAACACTGTCAAACATCTTTGTGTTTCCCTGATGAGGTGCAGTGTTTTGTTGCCTTGTGAATACTGTTATCAAAAGGAAGAAATCTGTCAGTAGAGAATGATTCTGCTCTGATTTCGACAGATTTATTTTTAAGCAATTATTGCACAAAAAGCAAACCAACGCTGCTCTCCTCCCATCCCTCCTGTTTCAAGAGAAGCTGAACAAAACTCTGTGTTAAAAGGGTTTATAGAGACTGAGGATCAAAATAGAAAAACTACATTTAAAAATAGGAATTGTCTCACTGTGGTTGCTGGAAGGGCGAAATTTCTCTGGGTGTGGGAAACATTCAGCGTCTGACATGTTTAGGACAGAGGCTTTTCACTTCATGCTGCCTCCATGTCGCAGAGGATTTTAGTCCAGGTCTTGACGAGGCTTGTTGAGGCGTGAGCTCGATGCACCTGGTCCCTGTGACAGCACATCCTCCACTCAGGCGAGCCAAGCAAGCATCTTGTTCATCTCGATGATGAATGGGGGACATGATCTCCTTTGTGCCGTTTGAAATTGTTTCAGGGTGCTCTGAGGCTTTCTGACTATCGGCTGTTGTGTCAATTGAGGAGACACTGACAAACTGTTTCTGGATAAAGCGCAATGACTCTGTGTGTGTGTGGGGAGAAAATGATTCAGCCCTGCTGGCCATGAAATGTTCATGGCCACATTTCATGGCCAGCAGGGCTGAATCATTTTCTTCAACATAATATCACCCTGTACTGGCAGTGTTTTGTTAGTAGTGCTGAAACTCTTCACCACATCAGTCAACAAAATAAGAGCATGGATGGATAAGTAAAAAGTCTGCAAACATCAAGGTTTGTCTATTTAGGGCTTTATTGAAGTGAAATGGATTTTTTTGGTACATTAAAAACAGTGACCACTATATTGATACAGTTATAGAATTGATGACATGCATACAACAGGTGTCTGTTATAGGTGAGGACACGCTTCCCAGCTGGAGATTTATGTGCGGGGTGGGGGGGTGGGTCACAATTTCCCGGTATCACAGGACATTTTGCAGCACAGCAGGAAAACAGGAGAGTAGACCAGAATGTGCCCTGGTTGTGTGTGATGCACTAATGGAAAAGTTGTGAGATGCAGGGTAACAGAGGCAGACACCTTGTGCTGAAAAGCTTCAGAGCAAAAACACATAAGTAGTTTTCACATCCATGGCTGAAATGCACATTTTCATAAGTAGCTTTTGAGGGATTTCTTTTTTTCCAAAGTTGATTGCTATGGTAACACGGCAATGCGTGTCTGAAACTGAATCACTAATGCAAAGTGCTCATTTGAGAACTTCACTTTGTGCAGAGCCAGATGGTGAGGAACCATGGAGCAACTCATCAGCTCAGATTTGCATCATCTTCACTTGAGATGCCCGACTGGTTCCCCAGCAGCACCCCTACACAACTGACTCTATTGGCGCCAACATATTTATTGAAAGATGACTTGGCACAGTTGGTTAATCATTATTTTCCCAGTGCACCAGCTGCAAGCAGAAAGCAGAAAAAATGAATTTATTGTCCAAACAAATATGGGCCATACCACACCACACGCTGTACTGTATATGATGAATTTTAAATGTTTATGGCTCTAATTCTAAGAACTGTTGTGTCATTTAAGTCTTTGGATATTACCATGAATGAAAACCAATGAAGAAAGCCATTAATCACAGCCATAAAAACACTGGAAGCTCCATGACTCAGTAAGAGTGCTGAAGCTCAGTAGGTAAGATTTTATTCTAAGTATTAAGAATACTTGACACTCATTGGGGTCTGAGAGTGGAAAAGAGTGGATGGGAACAGCTCTGGCTGAGTGTATGGGACAGAGTAAAAGCTGATTGCAAGCTCTTGTGTGTAAAATGTGCACATAGCGCTCAAGTAAATGGGCCTTGACTTCAATGAGATTGAATTCAATTGAATATACCTTTTCACAAAGTGAGTAGAAGAGTACAGAAGAGTAAAGGGAGCTTAGGCAGACTTTGCCCTTAACTTGTGTCGCTTTCAACACAATTCAGACTGATTCACACAAACTTCAAACTGCACAATTCCAGTTTTGATTTATGTTGTACTGAAGATAAAAATGATTTGCACCCTATGCTGGTGTTGGGTGGAAATAAATATGCAACAGACCAGTCGGCAGCCATTCCAGTCAAATAAGCAACAACAAAATACTGGCTATTACACGGGCAGTTTTCACATACTTTAATGAACAAATCAGTGTTACCACTCATTAAAACTGCTTCTCCTTCTGACTCTGACAGCACTAATAAATACCAACAGACCATTCGATCAGAATCTGTGTACACAGTCTATGATTACAGACAGGCAGGCAGACAAAACCAGGCTTCTCGTCTCTAGCCAAACACCATAGCCAAGTGTTGGTGGCATTTTTATGAGCTCTCGCTGACTTGCTAATTAAGCTCACGTTAACTCCGTGGGTTTGGTATAAATGTCAACTTCAGCTGACTTTTGAATGTTTCCAGCTGACTGTTTAATCTGAGAATGTCGTGAAAGAGGTCTTAAACATGCACAGGTTGGCCAAACATTGTGCTTGAAGAAGCTGTAAGTCACTTTCAAAGTAGTAATAAATAACGCTAGATTTGAACCCCATTGGCCCACAATTGTACATCGAGAAGCATTACTCCCAACAGAAAAGCTGTGGAGGTTAAAAGGCTCAGAAAACACAAAATAAAGTATTAAATCTTTATCTATGGATAATATTTGACTTTATACATTTGGCACACATCTTATACCACTTCCTGTTTGGGCAAAAACAAAAAGTACATTGATTTCTTACAAAAAAAACAAAAACTGCATATTATGACAATTAGTATATAATATATAGACCTACTGCATACTATTGCTGGAATTGGAGTCTTTGGCCAGTCTGCAAGATCTTCCAACATCTCTTAATGAAAAAAGAAGGAAATATAGCCCAGTGTCTTCTGTCCACCAAAGGTACAAAATTGTTGATGTTTCATAGATGCTTAAAGCTGTCGTGGAG